TCTCACAAAGGGGAATTTATGAACAAGTGATCAGGAATATTCTTGAATCAGCTATAATCATGCTTCATGCGAAAGAATTGCCTCTATAATTTTGGGCTGAAGCCATGAATATTGCTTGCTACATTCATAATAGGGTTACCTTAAGAAGAAATTCTTCAGTTACTCCTTATGAGCTATGGAAAGGAATGAAGCCTAGATTTAATTGCTTTCATATCTTTGGAAGTAAGTTCTATTACTTGACTGATCAAGGGGAAAGGGGCAAGAAGAATTCTATAAGGGATGGGGGAGATTTATGCGTTACTCTTCGAAGAGCGGAACTTATAGAGTGTTTAACTCCAAAACTGGAATGTTTTTGGTATTGTAATACGGTGTGAGAACTGACTGTTATACTGGTTTTGCATTTGTATTCGCAAATGTTATGATAAGCAAGAGTGGCCACCGACTTTTCTTTTATCGAACAAAAGAAAGGGTGAAAAGAACAGAAAAAGACCTTTCGAGATTATTTCTAAGTAAGGGGGATAGATTATGGAAAGGGAAGGTGTTAGTTCCCTTTACATCCGTATTTATCTACGGGCTCTTAGATGCTAGCTCATTTGAAAATACCTTGTGTTTGTATGTTTGAAAAAGTATTTTGAAAAGAAAGCGCCTTAGTACGGCGAACTTTGTAATGTTTCTCGGATTGGTATAGAACGTATACAAAGTGTTTTGAAAATGTTTTTGGAAAGAGTTTTGTGTACGTGTAAAAGTTTTTTTTTTAGCAAGCATCTAAAAACTATCTATTATACTCGAAAGAATTGTTCTTTTCCTCTTTTCCTTTAGACATTGTTATCCTACTATTAGTGAGTAGGTAGCCCTAGTCGTTGGATGTTTGAGGAACATTCGAAGGGACATCATATAGTCACAAAGGCAACTGGGTAAAAAACCTTAGTAACTACCCTAGGGCTTCAAGATCATATCGAGGCAGCATCGAGAGGGTCATTTTTTTATCTTTAAACCGGAGGATAGCCACTAAAGCCTCTCACATTTCGAGAGTTGTGACTGTTTTCTGAAGGCAACCAAAGTAGGGATACCCTAGAGGTGTATATGTGAGAGTGTGTTGTATTCAGTTATTTTTGTCTTGTGTTAGGTTTGCTAGCGTTTAATTATTATGTTCTTGCCATACAATCCTATTATTTATGCATCTAGACAGTTAATAGTGTACGGGAGTTTAAAGTGCGGAAATGTAAAACCTAGCTATTACAAGGCTTCAGGGAGGGGATTATTTACAAATCCAAAACTTGGGGAAAATAGAGCAGTTAAAGTAAAAGTCCTAGTTATTGTCTATTACATCCCAGTAAGCAGTTACAATAATATGAAAAAAGTGCGAAAGTAAATAAGCGCGCGCGAAATGGAAATTACGTTTAAAACCCTAGAAAGTTCTAAGTAAAATAAAATAAAAATTTGTTTGTTACTTGTTTTATATTAAGAAAATAGTTGAATTAAAAATAATTAATCTAGATCTATATTTAAAGAAAAAAGTTAATTATAAAAGAAAAGAAATTAATTTCAAAGTGTTTTTTGTTGGTATTTTTAATATGAAAAGAAAATGAATTAAAATCTCAATTCTATTTAGTTTTAAATTAAAGGAAGATGGTTTAAATAATTATTAATTAATTTACAAAATTAATTTAATTGAGAAAAAATGCTAACCTAATATTTTTATGATTTCTATCTGATTTTTATGTTGATTAAAAAAAACTAAAATAAATAAATAAAAACAAAATAAACAAATATGAATGGGCCAGACAGTAAATGGAAAAAAGGGGTGTAATTTGCAAAACGCATGCCCAGATCAGGAAGATGCCCAGGCTGCAATTGGATCCAGTGAGGGAATCCTTTGAGGGTGCATGGTGTGCTGTGCATCTGAGAGTGTTGGATCTGATCAGATAGGATCTACTGGTTATGATCATGTGGTGTATGGTGCACGCGTGGGATCTGCAAGAATTGGATCTGCATAAAATGTTAGAAAAATAAAATTAAAAAAGGGCTGGATCAAACCCAACCCCTCTAGCCTTACAAATGAGTGCTTCACCACTCAACCAACCTGCTTATTCATTTATACAAACAACCAAAATAATATATATGTGAAATAAGTGGAAAATGATGAGTTGTCAAACGCGTGTTTCAGTGGACCCCTGGGAGTTTGAATCAACCAATCTCGAAATGCTAATGAGCCACGACAGCATTGATCAGAGTCCAAAGAACTCAGGGATGTTGGAGCTGCACTCCGGTCATCTTCTCCGACCCTGTAAAAATGAAAACAACAAAAATACATGGAATCAAAGCCCTAGACTCCGGCTACCCCCCCTATTTCGCATGCTACGAATTTAATGGTGGTGGTCGTTTGGACTGACATGACATGTAACGTCCTGCTCGAAGCTTAGTCGTTTTAGAACCCTAAAAATGGAAACTTGTATCCTAAGCCTCTAACTTCTCATGTAAAACGTTAGAAAGTTTCAAAATGATCAAACAAACACGGTTATATGCTTTATATCTATTTAAAGTGCGTATATTAAGAGATCAAAATGCAAAAAATTTACCCAATGGAGGTGGATCGGTTGGGCTATTTCAAGCAACTTCAGGTGTGGATATGGATTGAAATAGGCTCCTGGGAGTCTTGGGATGATGGTGGAGGACCTGGAATGGACTGAGGGATGCTAGATTGGATGATACGATTTTCACCTTTTCTTTGAAATTTTTTGGAAATTTTCTAGGCCTTTTTGAAGGCAGCTTCGTGCCATTCAGGCTTGCATTGTGTTGTATATATAGAGGAGTGAGTGAGGATAGCCTAGCATGGAAAGAAATCAACCTTTAAAGCCATGATGAAAGCAAGATAATCTAATTTGAAAACTTGCCAAATTTGAGAGGTTTCATGCCATTTTGGCTTGTGCACGAAAATGGCAAGGTTTACAGGCTATATCATGATGTATGGACCTTAGAAAAATCAATTCATGTGCTGGCCAATGGTTTCATATTTTATTTAATTTATTTTTGAATTTATTTGAATAAAATCCAAAATAAATAAAATAAAAATCAAGCCCATGTATGGATAAGTTTACAGGCCCTTAGGTATGTCTTGAGCATGCTTGGACCCTAAAAATTTGGCCCATTAACCTAAAAACACAAATTTGCTCAAAGTGTATTTCTTGAAATTTCTCAAAATTCCCCAACTTGTGCAAGCCATAAATTGCTTAATTTTCATCATTTAGAGATGATATTGGACTTTTTGGAAAGCTCACGATGTGCTCTTCAATCTCTCTATTGATCAATTTTGCATTTGAAGATTTTATCTTGGTGTAAATGGTCTTAGCAAAAAGTGTCTTTTGTTGACTTTCTGAAAATGACTTGTACTGTATGAGCTTGTATCTTCCAAATGATGAATTTCTTGAAATTGAGGATAAAAGATAAGTTGTAGGGAATTGGATTCTCTTCAAAATGATCTTTGGTTGGGGAAAATGGATGAAGCATGTGAAAGTTATGCTTGGTCAAAGTTCAGTTGACTTTCTCTAGGAAACCCTAATTTTGAAATTCTTGACTTTTGATAACTTAAGAGTATTCCTTGAGGAATCATAATCAACCCTTGTTCAAATGATGATTATAACTTAAAGATGTTGATGTTGACAAAAAAATCTTGAAGTTTGAGTGTATATTATCCACTGTTGACTTTTGACCTAGTATAGTTGATTTTTAAACACTTGAGAAGTTGACTGAGCAAACTTGTAGTGTAAGGCATGAAATTTGGCATGGGCATTCTTGGAGACATATTAGGGACCGTGGAAATCATTTGGATCCTTTTCAACCCAAACATCTTGGTGAAAAATGAAACCTTGGTTGGAGGTTCATTACTTAGGAGGATATTTCTTTAGTAAAATGCGAGGGTAAATTTTGGGGTACAACAGGTATCTATCAATATGATAGTTAATGATTCAATTACTGGAGAAAGGAAAAATATCAGAGACAAAGTTGGAACATCTTATGTGCAAATTGATGAAGCACTAAGAGAGGAGGTTTGTGAATTCACACATACGGAATTAGTGAATTCTCAATCCATCAAAGGTCTGTCTACTGAAGTGTCATACCCAAAATTTGTCCTACCCCTTTATAAGGATCATTTGGCTTATTCATCTTGCATCCTTCATATGCATACTTCTCATTAGTTCATCTAACACATCATGCATCATTCAATAAACTTAGCATGGGATCAAGGACCATTGAGATCAAGGTTTCTATATGGTGTGAGATCGGCACATCAGGAGAGCTTGATTCAACTGGTATTTTAATTGTGCATGGGTGACTAGGATTCCTATGTCGATCAAGCAAGAAACATGGTTGATTGAATTCCAAGTTAATTGGTCATAATGCAAAAAGAAGTACATGTGAATCTACATCTCCAATTAGGGTTTGTGGGCACGATACATGTCATCTGAAGACTTTTCTGTTGCTTTAAGTTTTATCCTTCTATGATAATTTATTTAACTAAGGTTTGATACGAGCTACCTCTTTTGGATTTAATTCAAATTCTTTAAGCCCAAGTCCTAGGTTTTCTTATGGGATATTAGGGTTTTATGGATCAAGGATTATGGAAAGTATCAAGCCTATCCATTCATGTGAAGATCTCTAAACATAATGATTCATTCAAGAGGGTGTAGTAAAAGAAGTTATTATGGTCCATTCATTTACCTAAAGGAATTTAGGCATGATTGTTAATTTCAAGGAAGAGACCAAAGAGACTTTTCATGATCTTAAGGCTAAAGGAGATTTGTTGTTCAGAGTACAAGTTGAAAATAATACTTTAACATTTAAGGTTTATTATGAACTTTCAATGCCAGGTAGTATATACATTAAGGAGAATTTACAAAGAAAGCTACATAGAGATCTATCCTAAGCCTAAGTCATCATCTTTCATACTTCAATGTTACAATTGTCTTCATGTCCAAGCAACTTCCAAGCTTCTTCCTACTTCAAAGCCTTCCATAATGCATCCTCTTCAAAGTGGCTTCATGAATAAACCTTGCATCCATGCAACATTGCCTCATGCCAAGACCTGTGACCAAACATCCAATACAAAATTCTGATGTTGAAAGGGTCCTACTGTACATACACAAGAGTAGTTTACAAACCATAAATCCACAGTCAAAGCAAACAGAGCAGTTGTTACAAAATTATATTGCAACCCTGCATGTATCAACCAAACCAGTTTAAAAATGGGACACAAATAGACCAAACCTGTTCGGAACCTGCTGCAACTTGATTAATCTATACAAGAGGTGATATACTAAAAGCTTACAAAACCTGGGTTATTATTCATCAAATTACAGACGGCTGCCATAGTTTCAAGCTTGTAACACAAAGCCTGCAATAGTGTATTCAACACAATCAGTTTCAATCTGGTCCTCCCAAGCAGTCATGAATTCATACAAATAGGTACCAAGCCTAACCAATTAAAACACGTTCCCGGTTATTCATTACTATCTACCAATCAATAACCAAATTAAATAACATTTTTCTACCACCTACTTCTAACAGTTTTCCTAAATAGCTCATAACTAACGCATTAAAACAGTTCCAGTTCAACAATACAAGTCATCAACATACATACACCAATTCAAATCCAATTCAAGCAAACGTCATTCAAAGAAAATTTGCTCCAAGTGCACATGGGATAGCATATATACATGCTAAAGGGCTTCATGATAGAACTATGGTATATCACCTTCATTTTCTGCTTACTAACATTCTTATCCTCATCCGTCAATAGACCTTGAAACCATGTCGAGACACCACTAGAGCTGTGGCAACATATACCTGCAAACACATTGAACAACCATCAAAACAGTCATAAAACATCAGGCCAAAATAACTCCGAACACATTGCCTTGCCTCTACTAAATCCTTGCATCCATCAACAATTGGATTGGTACAATTCCGACCCATGCCTTGCTTTCAAACAAAACCAAACATCCACTCAAATAGAAAGAACAGAAAACCAATTAACATCGGTTCAAAAAAAACCAGCCACAACCAGCATAAACGGATCTGAAGTCCACAACAACGGACAAAATCAGTTCATCACCTGGATATCATAAACCAGTTCATTAGCAAAAAAATAAAAAATCAATAACAGATTTGTGCCAGCTCATCAACCTCTAACTAACTTTCAAACATCCTATAACTAACTTCCATCCAAGCCCTTCAATCTCTAACTACTTCTACTCAATCCTCGGACTAAGATAATTCTATTCGTAACCAACTCCTCAAGCTTTCATAACTATAGAAGCCATTCTTCTCTTTCATTCAGGAATTCATGATTCATTCTTCACAACACACAGAAAAATCAGTTATAGAACTCACCAGAAATCGTTATTCTCTCGATTCCCTCAACCATCATCAGCAGAATCATCACCCTCTTCAACTTAATCTTCTCAAACACTTCCCTTTCACCATCTTTGTACGCACACCTTCAACCTGCAACCTCTCTCAACCTTTCTTCTTCATACCTCTTAGCCCATCCTCATCATCTTCAATCCTTCAATCTTCATTCTAAAATTTCATCGTATACGCAACCGCATCATCATCATCAACGCATCATATTCATTACTGGGTTTATTTCTCAGTACCTCTATCATCTCTACTTCAATAATACACCACCATAATTAATGCAACAGAATCGCATGGGGTACACTGAGATCCAAAATCTCAAAAACACGGTGAAGAGGTAGAAGAAGAAGATCGAGTAAAAGAAGATAGAGGGATATCGTACCTGAATTTATTTTTGGATTTTTGTTTTATCGACAGTGACTATGAAACATCTTCAGAGCGTCTCCTACCGGTAAGATCTGGAACCTCTTTTTTTTCGTCTTCTTCGTGGCTTCTTGATATGAGTACATAGAGAAAAGCATGTAGATCAACAGCCCTATGGAGGTGCAGCCTGGAGTCCATTCATCCTTGCTTAATTTTCATTCTCCGAGACTTAATTTTCGTGTTTTTGGATAAAATTTAGAATGAACAAAAATATATTGATGAAAAAGGATTCAGGATTTAGAACATTCACTCAGAGACGAAGAGATTGGTGTATGTAGTTTGAGGTTTCCGATACAGATGGTGGTGGTTAAGGCGGTGATTTATCGATTGTGAGAAGCCACGATTTAGATAAGACGAAGTCAGAGAAGAGGCGTGAGGCTATGGTGGAGTAAGGTGAAGATAAGGCGAAGAAGACGAATGGTACAGTGGTGAATGGAAGTGAAACGAGGAAGATAGAGAGAATTAGGTTCAAGATAATGCCAAGGGTCACATTTGTGGACTAAAACAGTTGCGTTCCACTATTTTCCTTTATTTGTGCTTTTTTTTTTGTTGTTCATTTTGACATGTTATGAAATCTGAATATGCATGTGTAATGGCATGGGAATGGACCGAAATAGTAAGTCTATAGCAAATTTTTTGAGCAGTTTTGAGAACTTGACACTAAAAGTGGACCTAAATTCAAATGGGCATGACATTTAATTTTTCTGGATTGACGACATGTATATTATTTAACACCTCCTGGATATTTCCATTTGATTTGCTTCTTATAATTATTGTGGATAATTTTTAATTGATCGATTGAAGCTTCCGCATGTATTCTGTAGAGTTTTCTTATCGCTTGTGTGGCTTTGAAGAGGCAACAGACCTTCTCCGTTAGGTATCATTGCGACTTTATTTTATTTCTCATTTCCACATTGAATTTCAATTATTTTTCCATGAGAAGTAGAAATAGAGATGCATTTTTTTACCGTTTTTCTAGATATCTTGAGAAGTAGGAAATAAAGAGCGTGCGCTCGAAGTTATTGTTTAAAGTCTTGTAGAAGGAATTCCGCACTTATTTACTGTTTGTGTCTGTGCTTATTTATTTCTTTTGACGATTGATAATGTCACTCAATTATAATTTATATAACAACTTCGATCTTTTCATGCTCCCCATAGGATTTTGTGGCTTTATTCTTTTGACGATTGATGATGTCACTCAATTAGAATTGAGATAAAGGCTTCAAACTTTGCATGCTCCCCATTGGATTTTTTGGATTTATTCTTTTGAACATTAATGAGGTCACTCAATTAGAATTGATATAACGACTTTGATCCCTGCATGTTCCCTATAGGATAGATATCCTTACCCTTAGGTCTTTTGCATGCTAACGTAGGTAGACATTTCCCTTTTAGCATTTTTCTTCCCTCTTCTGCATATGCATTAAAACTAAAACTTTTGTTTTCCCTTTAAACTTCAAAAATACTCTAATAATACAAAAAACCTTTTTCAAGGTAAATAACATCAACCAATCCAAACTTTTTTCGCCTTCGGGCCTTTCATCGAAACTTTCAAAAGGATGTGCTAGTTCTACTCTATGCGGTACGATGCATAAATCCCCAAAGGTCGGGTTCCACCATGTCTATTTTCCAAAGAGTCGTGAGAGAAGCGTTATCCACCTTCGAGCATTTTTATTTTGAAGATACCTCGTCAGGTATGAGCATGTTAGTTCCCTTCTACTACAGACGCATGAGTCTCTTAGGGTCGAGCTGTAGTAGAATACGAAGCTTAGCATTGTTCCATTAAAAAACACAAAACAAACCAAAACATGTGAGCTGAACTACGACACTCTGACTTTCCCATTACACGAGGGAGTACGTAGGCACTAGGTTGTGGGGCCTAGGCGAGCGAAACTTTGTAAAATTTCCTTTTTTTCCCCTTATTTTCTTTCGCATACATTCTCTTTTAGCAATAAGCTTTAGACATGTATTTTTACACACTCTTAGACGACAAAAAATGAAAGTGGATCCTGTGAAGTACCACATACGTATAGGGTGCTAATACTTCCCCTCGTGTAACCGACATCCGTACCCTTTATCTTGGTTGCAAGTCCATCTTAATCGTTTATTTGGGGTTCTGTCGATATCTTCCCTTCCTTCAGGATAAATAGAGTTTGGTGGCAACTCTGTTTTTTCACGTTGTGATAGCTGGCGAATCTATCGGGGACAGTGTGATACGGTGGCAGAACTGGACTGGTTTTAGGAAAATGCTGGTTTGTGTTTTGCGTTTGTGTTTTCAAAATGTCGCGGTAAGCAAGAGTCGCCACCGACTTTTATTTTATCCAACTGGAAAGGACAAAAGTATAGAAAAATTTGTTTTTCGAGATTTTGAGTACGGGGGGTAGATTATAGAAAGGGAAGGTATTAGCACCCTTTCAATCTGTAGTTTTCTACGGGCTCTTAGGTACTTGCTCATCATTTTAAAAATTGCTTGTGTTTTTGCTTTGTTTTGAAAATGTTTTTGTTTTACTTCGTTTTAACCCTTGTTTCTGTCCTCAAGAGTGTTACGAAGTTGTTTTGAAAACTTTGTTTGAAAAAGTGTAAGTGTGAAAAAGTTTGATTTTGAGCAAGTACCTACTAGCATCTACCTACTTGAAAAAAGTTGTTTCTATTCTCGTTTCCTTTAGACAGCGCTATCCTACTATTTGAGAAATAGGTAGCACCGTCATTGGAGTTGTAAGGGTCAATTCGAAAAGGGACGTACGATCATTAAAGCAATGTTAGGACGTCTTAGTAATAACCCTAATGTCTTGAGATCATATTCGAGGCAACATTTCTGAGGCAACCTTTCCGAGGCAACAATTCCGAACGGGATATTTGATCTTTGTTTAGACAAAAGAGCGACCACTAAAACACCCTATACTTAATGATCGTTTACCGAATGCAACCGAAGTGAGAGTATACCCTAGGAGTGCGCATGTGCGAGTGATTTGATTTCAGATTATTATCTTTGCACATTTAGGGTTTGCTAACCATTTTAAATTTAACATACATTCTTGTCATGCAACCCTATTATCATACATCTAACAGTTAATATTTACGAAAATTAAAATGCGAGAAATAAAATTACGCTATTACAAGGCTTCGGTGAGGGGGATTAATTACATAGCCAAAAACTCGTAAAAGCGATAAATAAACGAAAAAGTCTTAATTAAACTATTACATCCCATAAGCAGTTACATTAATATCGTAAAAATAAATAAATGCGTGATGAATCGAGAGCGAGAAAAGAATTAGGGTTTTGACCCCTTCTAAACCTAATTAAAAGAAGAATTAATTTTTGGTTGTTTTTGATTATTTTGAGAAAAATAAGGCTTTAATTAAATAAATACAAACCTAATTATTAATTAATTTTAATTAAGAAAATAATTAATTTTGACCTATTTTTGTATTTTGGTTATTTTAAGGAAAAGACAACAAAAAATTAAATCAAATGAAACCTAATTTTCTAATTTGTTTTAATTTATTTACAAAAATGTTAAAATTGCCCTAAAGTTAAATAAACTAATTAAATTGATTTTGAAAAAAAAAAAAAAAAAAAGCTAAAATTCTAATTTAATGAAAATTAATTTTATGAGTTTTTTGTAAAAAAGAATTAATTTGTGTGAGAAAATAATTTAAATAAATAAATTAAAGAAAATATAAAAGAAAAGAAAAGAGAATTGGGCCTGGTATGCTAGCAATTGAGGGGGGTGTCCATAGCAATCTCTGAGCCCACAAGCTTTGGTCCACGTTGACCTTTCTGATTCCATGTTGCACGTTTGACTAGGCCTTTGGTAGACCCTCACATGCCAAGTGTTGGATTTGATTTGCTTTAGATCTAGTGGTTGCAAGCTGATGGCATATGGTGGATCTATGGGAAGCCTGCGCATGGGATTTCATATAACAAAATAATATTGAAGAATAAGGGGACCTGGGGATCGAACCCAGGCCCTTTTGGCTTCTCCACATACCTCCTGACCAGCTGAGCCAACGCGCTTTGTTGTATAGGAAATAGTAAACAAACATTATATTAGCAACAGCAGATTAACATATCAAAAACGCGCGAAATTTAAATGGATGAATCACTGCCTGCCATGCCATCATCTTCCCCAAGCGTCTGTCGTCTTAGGTAAAACGACTTTTACCTACAGACGTTCTCTGTAGGTATAGCCCCTGTGATTTTCCAGAATTCCCTGCAAGCATGATAAACACATAACAATGGTACCAATCAACTCGTGACAACCTCACGAGCATCATGGTACCTCAATCGTGGCCCAATTTTTCATGTATGGCAAAGCCGCAAAACCATCTTAGAAACCCTATCAATGGCATCTACACATATGGCTTCCAAAAATGCAATTAAATGGTGTTGTTAGCTTGTAAACATGATAAGGATTACAAATATATCATTGAAACATGATAAAGATGCAAGAATAAAGGGATACGATTTTGAGAAAAATGACAAACCGCGAGGGTTGTGGAGACGGATTTTGGGCAAATCAAGGCTTGATTATGATCAGGTTAGCTTCAGGAGATAGCTGGGAATCGATTGCTAGCCTTGGAATGGTGTAAATCATCCTCTAACCTGCAATTTGATTCAACACTTTTTGGTGATTTTTGCATGTTTCTTCTCAGCTTCTCGCGCCTCTAACCCTTGTGCATTTGGTCTGGATTTGTTCTATATGTAGCCTTGAGTGAATTAGGTTTACAAATTTGCATCCAATCTTCTCCAATAATGATCATTTATCAAGATTTGATTCTCATGTAAATCTTTCCAAAACAAGTCAAAAACCAATATTTTGTGTATAAACAAGCCTTGCACAATTTGATCTCATTGCCAGCTATTCATGGACCTGAAATATGCACAAAATCTCACGGTTTAAATGATTTTGATATTTTCATGATTTTATTTTGATTTAATTTAATTTAAATGAAATAAAAATCAAAATAAATGACAAAAATAAAATAAAGGCAAGTGGGAAGGATCATGGGTCGTGGACCATGTTACAAACTCAATACAAGCACAAAAAGTTGGGCCCATTTGACAAAAATTGCAATTTTAGGCACATTTAACTTTTGGCAATTTTGCAAAAAAGGTCAACTTCACCAATGCATAA